CTGTTGCAACAAAGGTTTTGGCGCCAGTAATGATATGGATAATAATAATAATCAAAGCCACGCTGCTTGTAAAGCTGTCATCAACAGTAAGCCTTCTGGAGGCAGTAGCAAGTCAGTGGGTGAATGGCTACAATTACAACACGGACTATAAAAAACTTCCCAGGAAACTAATTACAAAAGTAATCATCATTCTAACCGACCTGCTATCATTATATGCATTTTCAGTATGCAGGCGCTTGGTGATAACAATGGCCATTGCTAACTACTCTTTAAATAAAACACTTAAACAGGAAATCTCCCAGAATTCTGGGAAAACCCAAATGTAGTGACAGTCTTCAAGAAAAGGGTCACAAGGCACTAAGTTACAGACCAGTGTCTCTGAAAACCATCTAGTGTAAACTGCTGCAAGTGATCAAGTTAATGATAGTGAATCACCTGCAGAGGATAACTTTTTTTTTAATCAACTGTCATCATAGATTTTTAAGGGGAAGTCGTGCTTAACAAACATGATCGAGTGTCATAAGGTTACTAAAATATGACTGGAAAAAAGGAAGCTGGGTAGCTTGTATTTTCAAAGACCGCCAAACAAAAACTTTGATACAGTTCCTCATGAAAGACTAGTGTACAAGATGGAGATGCAAGCTGGGGTAACTGGGAAGACACTAAACTTGGCTAAGGGAGTACCAGAGGGACAGAAGTCACTTGGCTAAGGGAGTACCAGAGGGACAGAAGTCACTTGGCTAAGGGAGCACCAGAGACAGAAGTCACTTGGCTAAGGGAGTACCAGAGGGACAGAAGTCACTTGGCTAAGGGAGTACCAGAGGGACAGAAGTCACTTGGCTAAGGGAGTACCAGAGACAGAAGTCACTTGGCTAAGGGAGCACCAGAGACAGAAGTCACTTGGCTAAGGGAGTACCAGAGACAGAAGTCACTTGGCTAAGGGAGCACCAGAGACAGAAGTCACTTGGCTAAGGGAGTACCAGAGGGACAGAAGTCACTTGGCTAAGGGAGTACCAGAGGGAGAGAAGTCAAAGAGTCACAGTGAGAGGTGAGGTCTCCCAGCTGGAGGAGTGTAACAGGTCCTGGGAAGTAGTGTAACAACAGTAGTGGTCCTCAGTCTTGGCACCACCACTCTTCCTATGTTACTGACCTGCCCGAGGGAGTGAGCTCGGATATGCCAGTCTTTACACACTATGGAAAGCTTCTGTCATATGAGTAATATTTTTTTTTGAGATATATACAAGAGTTGTTACAATCTTGTACAGCCACTAGTACGCGTAGCGTTTCGGGCAGGTCCCTGGAATACGATCCCTGCCGCGAAGAATCGTTTTTTCATCTAAGTACACATTTTACTATTGCGTTAAACAGAGGCTACAGTTAAGGAATTGCGCCCAGTAAATCCTTCCCGGCCAGGATACGAACCCATGACATAGCGCTCGCGGAACGCCAGGCGAGTGTCTTACCACACTACACCACGGAGACTGCTAAATATGCTAATATGACAGAAGAGGACTGCAGAATGTAACAGGAAGACCTTAACCAAATCCAGATATTGGCTAGCAAATGGTTGCTGGATTTCAATACTAATAAGTGTAAGATAATGAAGATGGGGAAGGGAGAAAGGAGACCAGGAGTCTACACCATATGGGAAGGCAACTACAGGAATCAGAGTTGGGAGTGGACATTATTCCAACACAAACAACAGGGTACACACATGCACAGTGACATGGGCAGCATGAGGGACGCTGGCCGCATTAGAACGTTTAGAAATGTCCTCAGCCAGGACGCTTTCAATGCAGTCTACATAAGCTTTCGTTAAACCAACACTGGAATATGCAGCACCGGCCTGGAACCCACAACTTATGAAGCATAAAACTAAAATTGAAAAAGTGCTGAGGTTTACAACCAGATTTATGCCAAAACAAAAGTAGTTAAACTAAGAGGACACGTTGAAGGAACTGGACCTTAAAACTTTGGAGGACAGAAGACACGGATGAGATATGATCACAACGTATAAGATATTGAAGGGAACAGACAAGGTGGACAAGGACAACATCTTTAAATTGCTAGAAAGAAGGACAAGAGGACTCAAGTGAAAGCTGGAAAACCAGACGAGCCAAAAAAATGCAAGGAAATACTTGTACGGAGTACGGGTGGTCAACAGTGGACTGCATTAAGTATAAGTTGTGGAAGCCACCTCCACCAAAAAAATTCAGTTCCGTCTAAGAATTCGAACGTCGGAAACTTTAAGTTATAACGCAACGGGTATAGCAAGGCTATAGTAGGCGGGGACAAGGAGCTAGACCTCACTTTCCCGTAGTCACTAACATGTAAACACCACAGGCAGAACTACCACCAGTGGAGGAAGGAAAAATTATTAACAGCATTCCGTCTCAACAGAGACATTGCAGCAACAAATAAGACCAGAATTAACATATTCTTATCAAAGCAATAACCTCTTAGCTTACTACGCCCCATCTTGAGGTTATCTTGAGATGGTTTCGGGGCTTTTAGTGTCCCCGCGGCCCGGTCCTCGACCAGGCCTCCATCCCCAGGAAGCAGCCCGTGACAGCTGACTAACACCCAGGTACCTATTTACTGCTAGGTAACGGGGGCATAGGGTGAAAGAAACTCTGCCTATTGTTTCTCGCCGGCGCCCGGGATCGAACCCGGGATCACAGGATCACAAGTACAGCGTGCTGTCCGCTCGGCCGACCGGCTCCCATCACCAAAGCACACACCTCACTTTGTTCCAAAACACCAAACCCTCCACACATGCACACCGTCAACAGCCAAACCCTCCACACATGCACACCGTCAACAGCCAAACCCTCCACACATGCACACCGTCAACAGCCAAACCCTCCACACATGCACACCGTCAACAGCCAAACCCTCCACACATGCAGACCGTCAACAGCCAAACCCTCCACACATGCAGACCGTCAACAGCCAAACCCTCCACACATGCACACCGTCAACAGCCACACTGCACAACAAGCACACACCAAGTTGCAGAACACAACGAAGATAAACACCTGAGGAACCCGTTGACGGATGCAAGGTAAACACACGTTTTCCAGACATCAATATTCACTACGAGTGCCAATCATCTCACACCACGACCACCCACACAACTGTCAAACGTCAAACAAACTACTATTCGAACTTCCGACAGTATAACACTAAGGTTGAGCTCTGCCACGAAGGTTGAGCTCTGACACGAAGGTTGAGCTCTGCCACGAAGATTGAGCTCTGCCACGAAGGTTGAGCTCTGGCACGAAGGTTGAGCTCTGCCACGAAGGTTGAGCTCTGCCACGAAGGTTGAGCTCTGCCACAAAGGTTGAGCTCTGGCACGAAGGTTGAGCTCTGGCACGAAGGTTGAGCTCTGGCACGAAGGTTGAGCTCTGGCACGAAGGTTGAGCTCTGGCACGAAGGTTGAGCTCTGGCACGAAGGTTGAGCTCTGGCACGAAGGTTGAGCTCTGCCACAAAGGTTGAGCTCTGGCACGAAGGTTGAGCACTGGCACGAAGGTTGAGCTCTGCAACGAAGGTTGAGCTCTGGCACGAAGGTTGAGCTCTGGCACGAAGGTTGAGCTCTGGCACGAAGGTTGAGCTCTGCCACGAAGGTTGAGCTCTGCCACAAAGGTTGAGCTCTGGCACGAAGGTTGAGCTCTGGCACGAAGGTTGAGCTCTGGCACGAAGGTTGAGCTCTGGCACGAAGGTTGAGCTCTGGCACGAAGGTTGAGCTCTGGCACGAAGGTTGAGCTCTGGCACGAAGGTTGAGCTCTGGCACGAAGGTTGAGCTCTGGCACGAAGGTTGAGCTCTGCCACGAAGGTTGAGCTCTGCCACGAAGGTTGAGCTCTGCCACGAAGGTTGAGCTCTGCCACGAAGGTTGAGCTCTGGCACGAAGGTTGAGCTCTGGCACGAAGGTTGAGCTCTGGCACGAAGGTTGAACTCTGGCACGAAGGTTGACCTCTGGCACGAAGGTTGAGCTCTGGCACGAAGGTTGAGCTCTGGCACGAAGGTTGAGCTCTGGCACGAAGGTTGAGCTCTGGCACGAAGGTTGAGCTCTGGCACGAAGGTTGAGCTCTGGCACGAAGGTTGAGCTCTGCCACGAAGGTTGAGCTCTGACACGAAGGTTGAGCTCTGACACGAAGGTTGAGCTCTGACACGAAGGTTGAGCTCTGGCACGAAAGACGCCGCCACAGCCGGCTTCAAGACAAACAAACTACTGGACGATGAAAAGACCATAAAATATTTGAAGAAACCATAAAACAGATAAACAAAACCAGATAATTAACTAGAACAGTAAAGCCCAGGTACGATATTATCTTCAGTTTCCCCAGGTAAATATAAAGCAATAGAGCCACTAAACAGGTTATCCACCTGGAACTAACCAACCACAATCGTGGCCAGACATTTACAATGCTAACCAGCAAATGTATATATGCTGGTTAGCAATGTAAATGTCTGGCCAGGTATGTGGTAGATAATAATAATAATAAAAAGTCATAGCTAGCTAGAGCTTCCCACACTATGGGAGACATTGTCCCTCAACCAGCAGGTAACAGAGTCAGCTATGAATGAAAACACTTTCGATGACGAACAGTGAAATAATCGTGGACATTACTGTCTTAAAGCTACCCCCTATACTCATTACAAACTAACAACAGCCCAAAAAATATTAATACACATAATAAATAAACTCCAAATGACAATTGCCTGCCCATGTTTAGAAAGTCTGCTTGAAGATTGTTCTTTTCCTGAAGATTGAAAGAGGACAAGACTTAGAACACGCAGATCATAAATAACAGGAAATGAATAACGGAAATGCTTAAGCAAACAGGAGTATCTCAACAAACAACAGGGGATATAAACAGGGAGACTGAGGAAATAGAGAACACGCGAAAGTGCTCACAACAGACTCAATTAATAACAATGGAACACAACCAACTATTCACAAGATATAGGAAAAACACAAACTATTTTTTTTCACACATGCAAACACAAAATCCTCCACCAGTACTGGTCCTACACATACAAGAGAAGGATCATACAAAGAGGACCACAAAGAGGACCACAAAGAGGACCACAAAGAGGATCATACAAAGAGGACCACAAAGAGGACCACAAAGAGGACCACAAAGAGGACCACAAAGAGGACCACAAAGAGGATCATACAAAGAGGACCACAAAGAGGACCACAAAGAGGACCACAAAGAGGACCACAAAGAGGACCACAAAGAGGACCACAAAGAGGACCACAAAGAGGACCACAAAGAGGACCACAAAGAGGACCACAAAGAGGACCACAAAGAGGACCACAAAGAGGACCACAAAGAGGACCACAAAGAGGACCACAAAGAGGACCACAAAGAGGACCACAAAGAGGACCACAAAGAAACGAGTAAAACCCTGAATAAACCATTTGAGTATCTTTAGCACTCCAATATATAAGATCAAAGTTGAAAATCGGGCCATCTTCATGAACGATATCCACAACCAAGACAAGATAACTGGTAGGCAAGCCAGACAAGATAACTGGTAACCAACCCAGACAAGATAACTAGTAACCAACCCAGACAAGATAACTAGTAACCAACCCAGACAAGATAACTAGTAACCAACCCAGACAAGATAACTAGTAACCAACCCAGACAAGATAACTAGTAACCAACCCAGACAAGATAACTAGTAGGCAACCCAGACAAGATAATAAGTAGCCAACCCAGACAAGATAACAAGAAGACAACCCAGACAAGATAACAAGAAGGCAACCCAGACAAAATAACAAGGCAACCCAGACAAGATAACTAATAACAGGAAACACATCAAACACAGAAGGACGGTTATGGAATTATCAGGAGTGGGCGTTGGAGGACGGGGGAGTGGGCGTTGGAGGACGGGGGAGTGGGCGTGGGAGGACGGGGGAGTGGGCGTGGGAGGACGGGGGAGTGGGCGTGGGAGGACGGGGGAGTGGGCGTGGGAGGACGGGGGAGTGGGCGTGGGAGGACGGGGGAGTGGGCGTGGGAGGACGGGGGAGTGGGCGTGGGAGGACGGGGGAGTGGGCGTGGGAGGACGGGGGAGTGGGCGTGGGAGGACGGGGGAGTGGGCGTGGGAGGACGGGGGAGTGGGCGTTGGAGGACGGGGGAGTGGGCGTTGGAGGACGGGGGAGTGGGCGTGGGAGGACGGGGGAGTGGGCGTGGGAGGACGGGGGAGTGGGCGTGGGAGGACGGGGGAGTGGGCGTGGGAGGACGGGGGAGTGGGCGTGGGAGGACGGGGGCGTGGGAGGACGGGGGAGTGGGCGTGGGAGGACGGGGGCGTGGGAGGACGGGGGAGTGGGCGTGGGAGGACGGGGGAGTGGGCGTGGGAGGACGGGGGAGTGGGCGTAGGAGGACGGGGGAGTGGGCGTGGGAGGACGGGGGCGTGGGAGGACGGGGGAGTGGGCGTGGGAGGACGGGGGAGTGGGCGTGGGAGGACGGGGGAGTGGGCGTGGGAGGACGGGGGAGTGGGCGTGGGAGGACGGGGGAGTGGGCGTGGGAGGACGGGGGGGTGGGCGTGGGAGGACGGGGGAGTGGGCGTGGGAGGACGGGGGAGTGGGCGTGGGAGGACGGGGGAGTGGGCGTGGGAGGACGGGGGAGTGGGCGTGGGAGGACGGGGGAGTGGGCGTGAGAGAACTTGAGAGTGGGCGTGGGAGGACGGGGGAGTGGGCGTGGGAGGACGGGCGTGGTATGGGGGGGCGGAGATCGCACGCAGGAAAGCCTGGGTGTGGTTATGCCCAAACAAATTTAAAATACAAATTCTTTTAAGATTGGGGGTTGCAAAGTGTCGGCGGGAGAGCGCATGCGCGCGCGAGGTGTGGGCGCCTCGGCAGACAGCCGTCAGCTGTCAGCCATTATGCTAACAAGGTGCCGGCCGCATCAATATTCGGCCATCCGTCAGCGGCCAGTCGCAAATCACCCGACAGTGAATAATGTTGCAAACTCGCCAGACGAGGTAATGACACGGCTGGTGTGAGGCCCCTCACGCTCTTCTCACACCCTCACTCATCCCTACAACACCAGCCTCCAACCCCTACATACTTTACTGCTAGACTCCACTCACTAAAACATCTAAGCTATTGGCACCGACTAAAATGCCTAAATCTGTATTCTCTTGAGCGCAGGCGGGAAGAGATGCATAATAATTTACACGTGGAAAATAATAGAGGGGCTGGTCCCAAACCTGCCACAGAAATAACATAACATGAGACCAGGAGGCATGGCAGGATGTGCAGAATACCCCCGTTGAAGAGCAGAGGTGCAACAGGTACTCTGAGAGAGAACTCTGTCAACATCAGAGGCCCGAGACTGTTCAACACACTTCCATTACACATAAGGGGCATAAATGGCCGACCCCTCAGTGTTCAAGAGAGAACTCGATGAGCACCTCCAAAGGATACCTGATCAACCAGACTGTGATTCATACGTCATGCCGCGAGCAGCCGCGTCCAACAGCCTAGTTGACCAGTCCAGCAACGAGGAGGCCTGGTCGAGGATCGGGCCGTGGGGACGTTGAGCCCCGAAATCATCGCAAGGTAACCCCCCAACACACACACACACACACACACACACACACACACACACACACACACACACACACACACACACACACGTCATCTCTAATGATTTCAGGGAACATAAGTGAAAATGGGTGATCGTCATAATACTCACTCCCAGCTGGAGCATTTGCAGTCAAAATACATTGGAACATTGGAACAGGTAAATTATGTTTATTGCAGTACAAAGAATAAAGTTACCAGTCCTCGATCATTGAATAAATTTACAGTACAGGCAGTCCAAGTGTAAAAAAATATTAACGTTTTGAAAAAGCTATGAAGTGACTTTAAAAAATATACTTTTGTAAAAAATTATACCATAATTTAGTTTGCAGATTCAATAGAGCAATAACACATATGGGGGCCTAATAGCTGAGTGGACAGTGCTCTGAACTCGTAATCCTAGGGTTCGGGATTCGATCCCCGGTGATGGCAAAAACAAAATGGGCAAAGTTTCTTTCCACCCGTAATTCTGTGGCGCGGGTTCGATTCCCGCACGAGGCAGAAACAAATGGGCAAAGTTTCTTTCACCCTGAATGCCCCTGTTACCTAGCAGTAAATAGGTACCTGGGAGTTAGTCAGCTGTCACGGGCTGCTTCCTGGGGGTGGAGGCCTGGTTGAGGACCGGGCCGCGGGGACACTAAAGCCCCGAAATCATCTCAAGATAACCTCAAAATAACCCTGATGACCCTGTTACCTAGCAGTAAATAGGTACCTGGGAGTTAGTCAGCTGTCATGGGCTGCTTCCTGGTGGGAGGGGGGGAGAAGGATTAGTAGTTAAAGTTGAGAGGCAGGCTGAAAGAGCAGAGCTCAACCCCCGCAAGCATAACTTGGTGAATACACACAGTGGCATAGGCAGTGATGTGGTGGAGCTGTAACACCCAGGACCTTCCCCCCCTCAGAGTTCACACCCAGGGAAGCCTTCTCCAAGAGGTCAGCCCAGATGACCTCCGGTTTATCTTGGATATTGATTAAAAATTCCTGGGTTAGTCTTAGTCAGCATAGTTTCAAGTATGTAATATTTCATGCAAGGAAATTAGACTCCAGATTCGTATGTGTAAACATCCTTGGATCTCCCCCTTTTTGGCCAGGTCAGAGGTCAGTCACATGTAATTAATAACTCCTCTCTTGAAGAGTGTATGGTGAATGTCAAACAAGCTTTTTGAAATATTTCTTGAGTGTTTGTACACTCTTGGTGGGTAGCAACAGCAGATCTCCCCCTCCCCCTGTGGGGGTTGTATATATAGGTCCTGTAGGGACTTAAAAACGGAGAGTGCGGTACACCGGGATCGAGAGCGGGGCTGTGAAGAACATCTCAGCCAGGGAGAGACAGATAGCTTAAGGTAATGTGTGTGATCTCTGAGTTTTTGTTCCATGTCCAAATTTCTTAACTTTTTGCCAGTGTTAGGGTAGGATTTATAATTGGTGATTGACATAATTTTGGTCTCAATAAACTTACGTGAAATTTCCCGTCTGTGTCAATTGTTGAATCCTCTTAGCCTTTTGGATATAGTGGCTGACAACCGTTTTCATAATTAATGACAGTCATAGAAAGTACTCTCCTAGTCAAGCAATGTTTCTTGCCTCGTTGCTTGATATAGTTTCAATGGTCAAAGGCAGATGGTGGCAGCATATTTAATCCTTGTGTTAGCATTTCCTTATTGGCAGTGTACCTTTGGTTCCAGTGTAACCATCATATGTCAGCTCACATTACCGTGTTTCATAACAGTGTTATCAAATGCAACCGATGAGGAAGTGTTACTCAGGATAAGTAGTGTTTACATTAGTAACTATTTTTTGTGTTCCATTATAGTGGTACACAATAGAGCGGTGGTACAATAGAGCGGTGTTACATCAGTGAGACTGTTGCTTCACAAGAATTTAACAAATTTTAATAAAATTCGACGACTGGGCGACATAAATCAGGGAAGACTGAGAACTAACTATAAGCAGAGTGCATGTTTTTGGACAGTCAGAAGACCTTTGACACAGTACCTCATAAGAGACACGTGTACAAGTTGGAGCAGCAGGCACGAGTAACAAGGAAGGTGGGAGAAAGGTAGATGGAGGAGGTGTGGTGGAGAAGGTTAGATTGGAGCACCTAAGCGACAGAAACCAGTCACTGAGAGGGGAAGTATCTGTTATTAGCAAGACGTCACCATCGGAAGGTAAGGGAACTATCAGGAGAAAGCGCCAAGCCACCACAACTATATAGCACTTGGGAAAGGGTCAGGATAAGGAACTGAGATGGGACGGGGGAAGGAATGGTGCCCAACCACTTGGCCGGTCGGGGATTGAATGCCAACCTGCATGAAGGGAGACCAAAAAATGATCTTCCAGAATAGTGTTATTCTCCTTTATAGCCCCTGGTGATGCACACATTATGTGGAGGATTAAGACTGAGGAATGTAGTAAGAAACTGCAAGATGACCTGGACAAACTAAAATAATGGTTCAACAAATGACTACTGCAAAGTAATGAACCTAAGTGTCGAGAACCGGAGGCTGGACAAAAGGTACCAAATAGGAGAAGAAATCCTTTATCCTCGGGACGTTGAGGTTGACATCAGAACTGAACCTGTCTCCTGAAGCTCCACACAAAATCAGAAACATCAGCGGCATGTGCATAGGTGATCAACATAAGAACTGCCTTTTAGAAATGTATGGAACGCACCGGCCTGCATCCTGGACTACGAGGCCACACCAGCCTACACAGTTCTCGTCTACAGGCTGGACACACTCGGGAGGGATCCCCCCCTCACTAGTCCCACAACACTGGGATAAGAGTGACCATCATCTCCTACAGGGGTCACACCTCACGTCGCTGGACGACACAAGAGTTACGA